TATTGAAGTGTCGGGGTTTCAAATCCGAGTACGTGACATGAGGACCGCCAAGTGATTGGAACTTCCGTGCAGGCGGGCATGTCGATCGTCAAAACAAGGGAAAACTACCGGGCCGTGAGATCGATGATGCGTCGGCCACACCAATCCCATCGTTGAAGCGTTAACACGTCCGCCCGTTCGGACGTGAGAATTCAAACGCGTCCAACGTGCGCTGGTAAAATAGTGGTAACACGTTGTTTATGGAACAAATCCAAGCGCTGATCCATTCCGTTCCACCATTCACTACGTTCTCGCCGAACATGAATGGATCCGTTTTCCACCGAAAACCAGTTAACCTCACGGACCAGATGGTCGTGGACTTTCACATTGTTATATGCGTGAAAAACAATGTTAACAATGACGAAAATCTGTCCGTTTCCACTCCNTCCAGATCCTGGGATTTCTTGAAACGTAACCGATGAACTCAGGACAATCCGAAATAACAGCGCGAACTTGATGAAAACCGGTAGATTGGTACCCTGAATGATTAGGTAACAATCGTCAGACTTATTGCTGTGCAGCGTTTCACTTTTGGTACGAAAACTTCGACAGGTCAAGTGGCTAGGTTACGAGGTTGTTCCAGGTATACGGCGGCTAGTGTGTGAACCAGCTAAATCTCTGTTAGGTGTCGACTGGGGGGGTCTTTTGTTCTCAAGGGAAACCTACATGGATCCAGCCAAAGGCATAGTTCTTCTAGTTCGATTCGCGTGCTATTCTCTATCGAACGTCGCCTGCAATTTCCATCCCATTCTGTGGAATGCTAGTGTTTTAGTATAGTTGCGTTAGAAGGTTTTTGCGAACTTTGATCGGATTTCAACAATCCACCGCTGTCTTTGCTAATGATTCTACGTGTATTGACAACCAAACACAGTCGCGTTTCAACTCGGACAACCTAAGACCGCGTTTCCTATTCCTCTGCATGCTTCGGAGCTTTTGCTTAGCTGGTGGATGGACGAAAAGTGCGATTGTCCAATGAATTCCACCGAACAGAGTAGTTTGTTTTTTTTGTGAAATGTATCACCGCATTTACCAAAAATATAAACATATATCTAATGGATGCGGAGAAATGGCCACCTAAGGCCATAATGAAGTGCATGCACAACATCTCGAAATTTTAATGGAAGATTTCAGCCTACACACTAAAACCGGTTACCAGCTAGATCAAAAAGTGCGTAAAATGAGAATAATGAAAAACAGAAAGAACAATAAAGCGGTTATTCGACTGTGAGAACTTGTAGGCTCGAAATGTCCTAGTCTTCACTAAACAGTCAAATCGGAACAGTGAGGGCTTGTGTCAGGGATCCTCACAAAGTTCAACTTGCTACACATTCACGCACACGTGAATGAGCCTAGGCTCATCAGTTCCCACAAACAAGCATACTTCGGTTTCACTATTTCCCCCGAATTCGAGTCCGTCGGGAAAATGTGTGCGATGACAAAATCAATGAGGCACAAGCGGTGGCACGCTGTTGACCTTGAGCGTTGTGACAAAGCGCTGGTTCAGGTTACCACATTCGTCAAACTTGTTATTTCTGGAAGCGTCGATTCATGCGTCCCTGTACGTCACATGACCGCCGCTGGATCTGGTCGTAAGGCTTTGAAAAAATTGTTCTTACCAAACAAAATGGTCCACGCACTCAATCCCATATTTCCTTCCGCAATGTCACAACTGAGTTCAACTCAACGTGGCAGTTCACTCAGAGGATACATGTGCATTGAAACTGCCTCAGGTAGCGAGACACGAAACGCAACATCATTGTCCGTAGATTAACATGGACCAGGTAAAATTCGGCCGCAACCAGGCTATAGTAGTTGGATTCTGGTGGAATGTGTGCAGAATGGCGCACAACTAACCATCGATTATAGTTCAGAATGGGTACTGCTTCCCACAATGAGCGATTCAAAATCTCTGTCGTTTATTCCGTAGGAAATTGGTTGACCTACTTCAAATACGTAAAAATGACCCAATCTTCTAGGTACACTCATGAATGAAGTGAAAAACGTGACTTCAGTGATAGGGAGACGTCATTCAAGACAAGGCAAAAAATGCAGATATGAAAACAAAAGCATATGGCCTCGATAGCCACACCAGAGTCAGAACATACACAACCCCTAAGCATACTACATTTGTGCCTTCCTTTCACAGTCGAATCGTGCCTCCTGGTTACTAGTCATCTGTTTGTTTTGAAGGTGTTATGAAGACCGCGCCAGAAATGTGGTACTTTTGGCGCTCATAGTTATCATGGTATCATTCCTCCCGCTCCAACAATGCGCCTAATACAGAAGCGGATGAAATGACATATCTCATGTGCATTTTAGTGACATCCGATGCGAGCACTGCAATGCAGCTCTTCGAATTACACCGTTGGCGAACGTTTTGCGGAAAAGGTGTGAAATTCTGATCACGCTGACTGTGACTACGTACCCCACACTCCATATTTAGTCAACAGTAAAATTGCTCGGGTAATTCGTTGTCAGCAGATGACCGATTTTGCCAATCTTAGGGCGCATCAGTTAGGCACAGTCCACGAGCTTAGGTCAACATTCTGTTCTACAAATTGCACCAAATTAAAGAAGTACACTCATTGGCAAACAAATTTCCAGTTGCGAGATACTGCCAGTTGATTCTCTCGTTTGTGTTGCTTCCATGCAACTGCTTTACTGCACCAGACCGTCTAATGTACGAAATTCATGTTATATTTTTGAGACATCTGTAGATGTTGAAACCCATGTGCACCATTTTACAAAGAGAATTGATTAAGTTACAATGCATTAACACGATGACACACAACGTGTTCTTTAGCAGAGTCAATTAATGCAGGGAGCGTAGGGAATACCTCAAATCAGCTCATGAAAATGCCGATTATTCTGCACTAGCGCTCAAAGCTACTCGTCAATTTGCGCGACTTGAAACAAGGCAGCAGCCATTTAAGGATTCCAGTGCACAGAATACAATGACATACTTGTCCTCAACGGCAGCACTGTTCGGCTGAGGATAGCTAAACGTGCGAACGCGATGTTCTTATTGGGTGAGGTAATTTTCCATCGGGCCTACTCAGGTGGTTGGTATTTGTCGGCCGGATGACCGGTCAATTTACGTGGCTTATCTTCCAAAGTGATCTGGGATCGCCCGCCCAGAATATTTCAAATAGGTAAG